GTGTGAAAGGGAGAACACGATGACTTGTTTCAGGAATTTGGGATTTATAACATCAGCAATATGTGGTCCTTGGTACTGCAAGGGATATAGTGGCAGAGGAACAGCTTGGTATCCTCATGGTAGCTGTGACAAGGAGCAGATGCTGAAGCCATTGTTGAACATCTGACTGGCTGCAGGAATTCACATGATGACAAGAGTTGGGGTAAGGTCGACTGTGAATCTCTGGGTATGGTACTGTACATGCACAAAGCTACAGGCAGAAGGCTGGTAATGTGTACGTATCCTATTATAAACACTGGCTTTATTTATGCATTTGGTGTATGGGAGCCAGCAACAGAGATTAGACCAATTGTCTGTATATGTATAACAGTAGGGCTCAGGCTGGCAGTGTGGACGTAGTCAGATGCAGGAACTAGCTATAAATTCAAGCCTGATGGTGGTGGTGCAAGTGGCAGGGTGCAACTGGGCCCTGTTGCGCAATTTTTGTAGCTACAAAGGTTGACTGTGAGCATGTGAGCCAATGGGCATCCATGGCAGGGTTAGTGAGGCATCAGAGCTTACAGTGCTCATCTTTGTGGCTATGGGGACCAACTTGAGGAGTGAACATGATTGTGGGGTTTGGTGAGGGAAGGCAGGGCTGGAAGGCATGCCCGCGATTATATGAGATAGCTGCAGACACATATTTAGCTGAGAGACCTGATAATGAGAGTTGAGACTAGATGCTCTTGGGCTCAAGGACTAGTAACAAGTGTGTATGTCATGGTCAGCTTATGCTTGCAGTGGGTGCACAGGTCATTAGTTTATGGCTCCCTGGATGTACTGGTGTCTGGTTGGGTGCCGTTGGAGGAGGCAGCTAGGTTTATCTCCTGGAGAGAGCATGAAGAGGAGTAGCGGTTCAAACACCTGGAGACTGAAAAAGTGAAAAACTACAGGCTCCTTAGTGGTATAAGAGGACAGGATCTGTCTCTACCATACACCTGGCACCTGGCAGCTGTACACGATGACATCACACGTTGCAAAGCAACCTAGGAGAGGGCTAGTGCATCAGTGCATGCGCTAACACACACAGACGAGGATAGCACGGAAGAAGCACAGGGCCGGCATGGAGGCATGGATGGAGGAATTGGCCCAGATGAAGAACAAGCAAGTCTTTATGGAATTATGGATGGGAGGTAGCCTGGGATGGGGCTGGGAGATAAAGACAGTTTAGAGGGTTAATGACTGTCCTGCTCCGAGTGAAATAAGGCTAGTCTAAAATCTAGCAGGTGTCTGTGTCTTTTACTGATTGTGATAGTGAAAGAGCCTGGCTAAATGAGCCTGACCAACTCCATGACAGGCTTTATTTTCTTGCTAGACAGAACAGGCCTATGAGTTACAGGAAAAAAACACAGAAAAAGGGCAAACAATCAGAAACAGTCAAAACATCTGGCCTGGGGAAGATAAGGTTCCTTAACTACCTGTCTGAAAAGCACCTAATCAGAGTCACATAGCCATCATGGGCACCAGCCAATTTCAATCGAGGTCACATAGTTACAGTAGGAGTTCCCCTTTCCAGCTTTAAAAAGGGGTCTTCAAGCTCCCCTCTGGGTCACTGCCATGTTGTAAAGGTGGTGACCCCAGTATGCTGGACTTCTGCAGAATAAACACCCTTTATAGCTTGCATGCTAATCAAGTCTGGGGTCGTTCTTTCAGTGTATTCTGTACCCTAACATCAGGGGGTTAGATTACAGGGCAAATACTAAACATTATTAACCTGATATCATTTATTTTCAGCGACGCATGATAATGAAAGCTACAGTGTTGTGCAGTGGTGACCAAGAGAAAGGAAGAGGAACCCAGTGAAGGCTACTGGTGGCCTCTGAAGAGGAGGTCACTGGAGACCACATGGCTGACACTGAGAGTCCCTGACTATCTGATTTGTTTCCAGATATTGCCCGATGTCTTGGCTATGTTGGCCTCTCTGATAATGGGTGGGGTGACTCTGAAGTAAGTCCTTTGGGAACTGTTTTGAAAGACTGGCGAAGCTGGATGTTCAGCACACTCTACTTTTTTTTTTTTTTTTCCTATGGAAGGAATAGGTGAGCTCAGGAATTCCCTCTCTGTGCTGGGCCCTGCCAGCCTGGGGGATGAGCTGATGTAGGTAAAATGAAACTGATATTCTTTTTAATTTTTACATAGTTATTCTCAATATTTCTTCCATTGTCTTGTAATTTCTTAGTTTGATCCCATTGTCCTAGACTGGCTGTTTTCATGTATGCATGGCTACATACTTGTTCTTTGTTGGGGAAACAAACTAGGGCCTCTTTCTCTGCTTCTTTGGTGATCTTACCCCATACTATGCTTATGAACCTAAACTCCTATCTGTCCTGTTCAAGTATCATCAAGGAAGAGGTTTGTAGTGGGAAGCTTCAAGTGCCAACAGTATGGCAACAAATTAGGAAATTCTTCCTGCCTTAGGGTTCAGTTTCTCCACTTGTCTACTGAAAACTGAATCCAGATTCTGTTTATTTCAGAGAGGCTGGCCAAAAGCCAGCGATGGAGCTTGTATACCACCCTGTACTAGAACTTTCCAAGATGGAGGCAAAAACCTCATTTCAAAGTTCTATGTGCATCATCTCAGCCAAGATTTCATGAAGACTGACTAAACCCCATGGACCAGTCACAGGAACAAGTATCTGATGACCATAGATAGCAGCATTACTCAGCTGCTGTGAGTACTCTGAGCAAACATCCCATCCATGGCCTCAGAACCTCACAGTAAGTTTGGAGCTGAGACTGCAAAGGTATCACATGGAAGGAGATCAAAGGTTACAGGTGAAAGATGTTGGGCCTGTAGGTACAGGAGGTCATTCTTCCTCCACCTAAGTATTTCTACTCTTTCTGCTCCCGTGTCTTTTCCTTTCTTCTCACAAGCAAAGAGCCTGGCAAGTTGAAGAACTGGGAGCATCTACTTAGCTGTGGAATAAAGAATGTGGAAAACTTTGTGGTCTAGGGAGGGATCTGAGACTCAGCAGCACTTTCCATGGTGTGCTCATATGCAAAGACCTTCTTCAAGGAGCTGAGAAGGTTGCCACAGAAGTGATGGATAAGGGCCCACTGGGAAGCTCATTAGACTGGGAGCTGCCCAGGTCCTGTCTTCATTACATGGAGAGCCACTTTTGTAAACCTCTCTGTTGGGGGCCAACTCTCCTCGCCATCTTATGTTGTAAACCAAAGTTGGAGGCAGAGGCCTGGCAAAGGCCCATTACTCACTTTTAATGAGACAGCCAGGGAAATAAATTGGCATATGTTAGTGGAATGGCTCATCAAGGTGAGTAATTATCTTCTTGACTAGGGCTGTTTACCCTCAGATGGAAGAATTTGCATCTCATCTTACCCTGGGAGCTCTTGAGAACAAGGACCAGGAGGCCAAGTGCAGCTTGACCACTAATCACAGATGTCTCCACTTATCTGTCTTGCTATTTACCATGTACTTGTCATGCCCCAGATTCCCAAGCTTTTTGGGGACAGGCTGAAAAACTGATGACAGGGGAATAGAAACCCAGAGGAGGAAAACACAAAAGTTCTTTTATAATTTATGGTTTGTGTGTGTCTATGTGTAGGGGGTACAGGCCAGCTTCTCATAGGGCTTGGCTTGCTGGAGAAGCTGTGTGGTAATGGTTCTGGAAGGTTCCACAGATAAAACTTATCTTCCCTCCAGTATTCCTACCTTCTCTTTCCTCCTGCCCTGTATAATGAACCAGGTCCAGACATGTACCTCTTAGTCACATGCCTTTAGCCTCCTGTCATAATAGACAGGCAGATCTTCTGGGACGATACTTGAAAGTGAGGGTGCAGGTATTCCCTTGCTTTCTGGACCCTGCTCTTGTTCTGAAGATGTAAAAGAGTATACCACAGAGCAAGCTTCCCTCTTGAAGCACTCCAGAAGACTTAGGAGCAAGTGACTAATTTTTGCCCACTGTCAATGGTGGCTGGCAGGATTCTCAAATCTAATTTGCATTCTAACTCCAGTTACCAGCAATTTTTTTCACTCTTCATGTCCCCTTCATGATTTCTCTCTCTCTCTCCCTCTCTGTTTGGTAAACTCCCATAAAGATAGGCTTGTGTCTATCTTAAGATCTATTCTAGCTCCACTCTGAGTCTATCAGCAAACCTAAGACTTGTTACAGATGTCTCAGGCCTTGCAACTTTTGCATCCTTCTGTGCTACCCAACTGTTACCTAAGACACAGCGGGGATAATATAAAGTACCCACACAACTCCCACTAATACTGAACAAGGGACTCAGCAAATAGTACCATTTCATTACATTGCAATCAAGTTATAGTCCAAGTGGACTGAGTTGATTGGACCTCTGGCCATGTGTACACTATCATAAGAGTCATGTTAATGGTGATGGGAAATATCCAAATGGTTTTATGGAATCATTTTCAGTTCAATTCAAACTGGGTGTGTGTGTGTGTGGGGGGGGGGCTCTGCTACAGTTGGGATTCTCAAAGGGGAAGTTGGCAAGAGTTTTAAAGGTTTCTTAACAAAGTTATGGTTGGAAGGTAGCTTAAAATTCCCAATTCTGTTAGTATCGCTTTGCCTGGAAGCAGAAGCAAGTGGTTGGTGGTGGTGATTGGGGAGCACTCATGTTATAACTGAAAATACTGTAAGGGATCCAGATGTGGCCAAGATGATGATCAGGTGCACACCTAGAAAATAGCTAAATAAAATTTCCAGGAAACTGTCCTTGTTTTGTATTCAAATGTGTGAGACTGAGTTCTCCAGACCACATTCATAGAGGTTCCTGGGGTTTCCTGGAAGAAGTTTAAACCTAACAAGGTTCTAATTATATGTGAGCCATCAACTCAAGTGCAGAACTGGGTCATGCCACCTAAGTAAAGGGTCTCTATTGAGGTACCACTGTCAAGTACATTTGGAGCCCCTCTTGGCCTTGGGTGCAGGGACAGTGAATTTGTTTTCCTGCCCATACTGGCATCTTCTCAGGACACTTACCATTTCTGTCAATGGCAAAAGGCACATCCGTTGTGACAATTTCATAGTTGCAAATCTGGCTGTACTGGGGGGAACAGTCCTCATCAATGGCTTCCACCTGCAGGATGCTGTCGTAGATCTTGCCCTCCGTGACAATGGCCTTGTAGGCTGGCTCTTTGAAGGTGGGAGCAAACTCGTTGACATCCTTCACCTGGATGTGGACCACAGCCCTGCACCACAAATCAGAAAGAAGAAATGATGGTAAAGGAGGAATCACACCATATGTTGTGGGGCATTGATCCAGCCCACGGCCGTGTGAGTGGCGAGGCCTCAGGGTTCTCAAGGATGTTGGTGCTTGAGAGCTCTGTCTTCCCTCCCTCTGGAAGCCAGCTGCAGCAACCTGCTCTTGCCTTGATGCTGAGCAAATGCCCTAGATAATCCTCCCATTTGTTGTCATCCGCATTGCACCCATTGTCATCCCCAAGGTTACACATTCCCTCTCCAACTTCTCCCCCCCCCATTCCCTTTCCTCGAGTCACTCATTCTTCCACCCAGAAAGAAGTTGGCTTCTTATGCTCTGTTATGCTCTGAGCCAAACCCCTTAAGGGAGAGAACAGGGTTGAGTCAAGGTGAGAAGTATCTGACAGAGAGAAACAAAGAGCTTTGCAGAAATGCTGAAAAAAAATTTAGTCTGGATCTGAGGAGAGGGGTGGACTTAAGGAATGCTTTCTATAGGAAGCAATGTTTTCACTTCGTTCTGGAGGTGGCCTAGGAGTCTCTTCCAGGGAAGAAAAGCAGGTACAGTATTCCTGCTGTAGAAATTAGCTTATGCAAATGCTCTGGTGGTACTCACCATCACCTTGGCCACACCTGGGTCTTTTTCAAATATGATCAATTATAAACATGAACGTCTCATCCCCCCAACCACCACCACTACCACAGCCCACTTTCTGCTCCTAGGCAAAGAGATGCTAATAGAATTGAGAGTGTCAAGCCACCTTCCAACCATGCCTCTGGTGTGACCTGTAGGTGGACATATTTAAAGAACAGAAGGGGGGGGGGACAGGGAGCTCACTTGTGTGACTTCTTCCAGGCTGCCTCCTGGGGCCCCGCCCCACAGTCGTAGGCCTGGATGATGAATGTGTACTCCTTCTGCAGCTCACAGTCGATGGGACTCTTGGCCCGGAGTCGGCCCTCTCCAGACGTCTTGTTGAGCACCACAGCCTCAAAGGGCAGCTCCTGCCCGTGGATCTTGAATGCACAGATTTCCCCTGCAGAAGAAGAGAGTAGTGAGGGTGAACGCTGGGAGTCTCCAGGCTGAAGACAGTGCCTGTACTGGGCCAGATCCACAAGCCCAAGACTTCGACACAATTTCTTCCACAGGCTCGGAATGTTCAACTAGTCTTGGCCTCTGGAGATCAGACCTGCGTGCTCATTTTATGGAGACTAAAATGGAAGTCTTTCATGGGTTGGGGATGTCACTCAGCAGGTGCTTGTGTAGGCTTTGTATGGGGAGTGCTTTTTCTCAGTTTCTTAGTCTTCCTGGTAGACTTCCCCTTGCCTTTGGCCCAGACTGGGATCAAGGAATTTGCTAACAAAGTTCAAAACAAAAGACAAAGGGCTGTTAGCAAAAAAAATCAAAGGCTAAAGCTTTGCCCAGCCTATTGTCATGTGACAACATCTTCTGTGCTTGAAAGCATCTTGCATGGGCTGGCAGTACAGCCAGGACTAGGAGATGGCTAGAGCCTTCATTGGTCTTAAGTATGAACATTGCTTTTCCATTTCCTTCACCCTAGTTTCCACATAGCACATTGTTGTTGCAGAATCCTCCCCCTCTTCAGTCTCCATTATGTCTCTCTACCCCCCTCCCACTCACAGTGGGAGCAGGTAATTTTCTCTTTTGAATCAGTGGGAGTCAGACTCTGTGAGTTCAAGACTCCCCATGGAGCTTGAACAGCTAACTTCTTAAAGAGCAGAACATGTTGCAAAATTAATGCATTTTGCCCCTTCGGCTGGGCTAATGTCTATTATAACTGTTTCCCTGCATTAAAATAATAAGGCCACAAGAATATTCTTTTTTCCTCTATTTGTGAATATTTATTTCTTGAACTCTGACTATAAGGCAAGCCCTGTAGTAAACGTTTTGCGATGTGCTAAAATTTTGAGACATGTCCTCTTGTGAGCACTTGTAGACTTCAGGCAGTGATGTTCAGCTGTCCAAAGGCCACTTGTATTGCAGAGGGGTATGCTAGCACTCTTGGATGGGCAGGAGAACCAGTTTGTAGGCTACCGAAGTATAGAGTCAAGATATCTAGGTTCAAATTCCAAGTGTGCTACATATGGAGTGATAGGTTTAAGTCATGTGACAATCCTCCTCTAGGTTTTTAGGTGTGCCTAAAATCAGTAAAGTGGTCCATGGGATAAAGTTAGGGAAAACGACATGTACTCTGAGATGCCTCGCCCTTGGTCTGACATTGCTTCAGCCATACTGCCTGGACCAGGGAGAGGCCTGTGAACTGCCTGGGAGTGTCTAGCAGAGTTTGCTTTTGGGGTGACAGGGGCCTCTGACTCACCCTAGCCCAGCCTTTATTCAGATGTTGATAGGAGGTGACAATTGGAGGCGAAGGAATAATGAGATTGATTGCATGCTTGCTTTGGGCAATGATCTTTGTTTCTAGGCAATCTTACTTGACCTTCATAACAAACCTACAAGGCAGCTGTTCTATAAAAGCGTATACAAATCATTATTGTTCTTTTGTTGTCGAGGCTGGGTTTTCTTACTATTTAGTCCAGGAAAGTCTGGGTCTCACAATCCTCTTACCTTAGCATCCTAAATGCTAAGATTATAAGTCTTCATGACTCAAACTTATACAAATTGGGAGGGGGGGATGAAGGAGAAGAGGAGGAGTGAAATCATGGAATTACTTGCTCAGTGTCACCGGGGTAAACTTGGGCATTAAACCCAGGAATGGCTGATTTGTAATCCCACATGTTCTACTCTAGCACTCCATTTCCAAAGATCCCCAAGATATCTAAAAAGACCCCCAGGGATCCCTCTGGGAATGACTCATATTCAGACAATAATTCGAGTGTGGCTGAGGTGAGTCCCTCACTTTCCATATGGGAAGCATGCCCTGATCTCTTACTAACGTTTTCTAAGATGTTGAATCAATACCAATTTTACCCATGGGCTTTTGCTTTTCTTATTATTTCTTTGATCTTTGATTTCATTATGAACATTCCACTTTCATTACCTCCCTTCCTGGCTGTTTCTCAAATATAGATATACAACAGTGAATAAAATGGGTTGCAGACCAGGTTATAGCACGAACCTAGGCTCCCGTCAACTCTCACTGCCCAATGTTCCCTGGGCACCTCAGCATTGCCCGTTTTGACAAGGATAACCCTGTAGCCTTTAGGGCATAAGAATAGGTTTTAACTCATCCCTGAGTTTAACTACTGCTCTGAATTAGGCAATATGCCCTCTGATTCTATCTCTGTGACAGTGTTACCAGCATACTCAAACTGGTTCTGGAGAATTCTCTGGCGAGCCCAACCACCGCCATGATTATAAGGCTAATCAGACTATTTCATTCTGAAGAGCCAAGTTAAACCTAAAATAGATGAGAGTAATTTTCTGCTGGAAACATCTGATCACAACCAAAGTAGTTCACAAGACTCAGCAATCCTTAAGAAGAAAATAGGGAGGAAGGAAGGAAAGGGCACAGAGGAGACCCAGGGAGAGAAGAGAAAAGTAAACTTTTGGTTCACTTACTTAGCTCAATATAATTCAGTGGAACTAGTAATTTAGAAGACCAACTATTACGGTTTGGATAGGAAGTGAACCCACCCAAGGACTCATTCATTGGCGGTTTAATTCCATATGCAGGAGTCAGAGGTGTGAATCATGAAGGCAATGACATGGTGGATGGATTGACAATACACTGATGAATCTATAACAGAATGGGCTGTCAGAGTCTAGCTACACAAAGCAGGTCAGGGGAAGCATACTTGTGAAGGGTAGAGCTAGCCCTGCCTCCCCATTTCCATCTCGTTCTCCTTCCTGGCTGCCATGAGGTAAGCAGCTTTGTTCTACCTCGTGCTCACACCATGATTCTCCACCTCACCTCAGGACAAAGGCCTCTCACATAGTCTTACCTCATGTCCCGAGCAACAGGGCCCAGGGTCCATCATTGAGGCCTCTGAAACTATAAACCATAAGGAACCAGTTCTCTCTCCAGGTATTTTGTCAGGTGTGTTGTCTTTTCAGGCATTTTTTGAAAGTGCCAGAAAGCTGACTACCACATCAAATAAGCCCCAGATACTGCACTATACTAGAAATGAGGATGGATGACTTGGGTATTTAAAACATAAGAATCAGGTGTCATCAAGTAGCTGTTAGGTTGTAGAAAAGACTGACTACAAATAGGACCAGCTCAGGGCCCACTTAGTGCAAACCATGTCAGCCTTTTGAACATAACTTAGAACTCATATCACACTGATTATGGAACATACCAAATACTTATGCTCCTGTTGAACAAACATTTTCTTGCTAGATAATCCACCCATTCATGCAGTAAATATTTATTAGGAACTAAGTGCCGGGCACCAGTGAAACGGCGATGAACACAGCCAGCCCCACCTATGGTCCCCACACTACTACTTGCAGTCCAGGAAGAGAAGCAGTCAGACAGCTACACCCCTGGCTAAGAAGCAGGGAGCGCCACATACACACTGCAGAAGAGGCGCCGAGGTCAGATCTGGTGGGACAGGGAGGGCATGCTTGCCTAAGGATGTGAAAGCTATGCCGAGGCTACGGGAGGAGAAAGAGGAGACACCAGGCCACTGGAATGACATCTTGTTTCAGGCAGAGGGGACAATATGCCTCGGGGACCTTCAAAAGAAAGAGTCCAACACTTCATGGTCCAGTGTGGCAGGAACAGAAACTGCTAGACTAGGGCCAACTTCTCGGGTGTGTGATGTGAAAGTCACACAGGGCTCTGCGGTCAGAGAGGCACTGAGTTCCAGTTAAATGTTTGTGTTTAGAACTGGCATTGCTGGGGCCAGGGAGGTGGCTCCAGGGGTAAGAGCTCTACTGTCCTAAGGACCTGAGGTTGAACCCCAGAACCCATGCAAAAACAAACAAACAAACAACAACAAAAACAGGCATGTCTATACATACCTGTTACCACAGCGTTAAGGAGTGCGGGCAGATTCTGAAAGCTCTTGGTTCTCTGAGAAATACCCTGTCTCCATGTAATAAAACAGAGAATGATGGAGGAACTCCATCAGTGCCTTCCTTTGGCCTCCATATGCTCACAAACAGGCATGGGGTGTGGGAGGGGGGTTGCGTGCACCACACACACACACATCACGCACACAAACTGGTGCTACTTAATAGAGAAAAGGGCTTTACTTTTTCTATAGCCAGAACTATATCAAAGAGAAAAATTAATATACGGCAAGTTGAAAGAAAGGAAAATGTAGGTATGAGAATGATCCAGGATGGGGTTTCAGAATAAAGATGCTTAGACCAGCTCGCAGCGTCAGTTTCTAATACGCTGGGTCACCTTGGTCTAGAGTTTGTTACTTGTAAAGGTTTTTCAGTGGGAGGATGACGCACTTCAAACAAAAACAAAGCAGACTGATGGCCTCTGGGTGAAAACGTCACTGTCAAAATCGTGCTTTCCAACACGCTTTTTCTGTGGGGGAGCTGGCCTGGCAGAAACTGTGTATATGACACACACAGGTTAGGGTGTACATCAGGGTGGCAGCCGCCTGAGTGGGGACCTGAGAGCACTGAGCCTCTGGGTGCCATTCCTCACCTGCTGTGGCAGGCAAATCAGGTAGATGTAGAAAGTAGATGAACTCAGCTTTATCACTAACACCTCCAAAGGCCTGACCGGAAGGAACAGGTATAGCGCCTGGGTGGGCCGTGATGGCTCCCACCCTCTAGGTTTCTGTTTGTAGCACACAATTACCTTCTCTTCAGCAGTTTCACGCTTCTCTGACTCAGCAGAAATGGGTATAGCTGTCTCTTCAGCTCTGCCAGAAGTTTCTGAGGAGAGTGTCTTTAAATTCGTTTTCTTTCTTAAGATTTATTTTATGAGTATGAATCTTTTGCCTGCATGCATATATGCCTGATGCCCACAGAGGTCAGAAGAGGGCATCTGATCCCCTGAAAGAGGAATTATGGATGATTGTGAGCCATCATGTAAGCGCTGGGAATCTTGGTCCTGTGCAAGAAATAAGCACTCTGAGCTGCTAAGCT